GTTACACGGTGTAATCAACTGCCCTTGGAAATTTTTTTTTAATTTGATTCTCTAAGTTTGTTATTAACATCAATTACTTTGCGCATAGTTTCACATGAGTGATGTCGACACGAACATGTTCGCAACAGATGATACCTTTGGAATATCGGTAAGCAGTCACTGAGCTAAACTATTGTAATCATAAGAAAATAGCCTGTGAAAGCAGCCGACATTTTTGTGACCTCTCCGCTGGATTGTCCGCGGAAGGCGTATGAGGTGTGACGAAAAGGAGCGCAGAAATTCCATTGTGATGACACTTCACCACCCAAATCTGGCCATGGGTACTACTTCTTATTGGTTGAAGATCTTTGTAGTGACGTGTCATCATCGTGAAATTTCTGCGCTCTTTCATCAGACTTGATGTGGCGGTGAATCCAGCGGTGGCGTCGCGAAATGTCGGCTGTTTTCACAGGCTATTTAAAAGATAGCAATTTATGTTTCTTGAGTATTTCATACGCATATACCCGTTGTATGGAAATACTGTTACACTGGGATTTGACGATTTAAACCACTCCCCTATCCAGAACATACAGTCACCTCAAACAGTCAGCCGAGAAGAGCTGTGAAAGGCGATAACAGTTTCGTCTGGCCACAGCGTTTTTCCAAGACATTCACTTTCTCAAGTAGATCAGTTGTGAGAACATTTACACGACTATTTTCAGATCGTAGCAACTCTCACGTTGCAGCTTCTGTTTAAACTTTTTTCTAGGCCTTCACTTGCTAAGTCGGAAATAATCTTGCAAATAAACTCGGATAGATCGTAGAAATTCAAGACGTTGGAAATTGGTTCAAAACGTTGCAGTAAAACATTTCTCGTGCCGCTCGTGGTGCCATTTGAATTTCAAACATTTTGAATTGTTTTATAGCTGGAAATTTCTTCGCAACAGCGCGCTTCGCCTCGGGAAACATGAGATTCGAGGGAAAATAAATGTGCCGTTTCTCTCGGGACCAATCATTTTAATTGGTGTTAAACGTTGTAGAAAAACTTTATGTCTGTGATCGTCTTAAGTTTGTTTTAATTCATCCGGGAATCAGTTGCAAATGGCGAATCGTTTACAGTGTAGTTGAAGTTATTTATTTGTCTGGCGTTAGAAGTTACGAGCAGTATTAATTTAAAAGGTGAAGAATAATCTTGTGGTAACCTTTTACAAACCAGGTTAATTTGGGCTCTCATTATTATTTTTACTTAAGCAAAAGGCTGCAAAAATAAGCTTTCAAAGACGACGTTTCGGTCTCATTTAGTTATATATTTTCATTTGTTTATATTTGTAGTCTGACAAGGGTGGAGCAACATCGATGGCAAACCCACTCTACCAGGATCCCTATCTAGAAGAGGACTTGAACAAATATTGACGGCCTCCCATGAAAAACTGTAATCCTCCATGCCTCCACTGACAAAAAGCCTCCTTTGCCTTCTTTGTTAGCTAAACAGAATTTTTTTTTTTTTGCTTCTATGCTGAACTGATTTTACTAAAAAAATTTTCCTTAAGTTTCAGATAAATTTACAATGTGCAGCTCTAGGTTTTATGATGAATCTGATTTTAATCCGCAAAGTAAAGGTGACTGACACAATCACTTGTATGTTGTAGTAAACTCTTTAGTACCGTCGCAGTTCTTTTCTTAGTTTTTGAGAAAGAAATTATACGAAAAAAAGGTTATTATTCGAGTTTAACTGCTGTTTATCTGTTATAACCAGGGTTAAAACACCGCATTCTAAGAAAGGCTTGGCAGCAATTGAAATCTAGGTGTACTGTATTACTTGATAATAATGCTTTGACTTGCTTGTACTGATATAAATGTCTTTTCAAATCAATAAAATGTTTTTAATTTTTTTAAAGTTGTGTCTTCGTTGCGCTTTATAGTTGCTTATGCTATGTAAAACATGAATGAGTAAAATCCAACTGGTGGTCTATTAACGCTGCGTTCTGATTGGTTGAGCTACCACTAGGTTATATGTTATAGCCCACTAGTAGCGAAAAGGGCCGGCTTTTGGGCGGCAAAAAAGGATTAAAGGCTAGCTTTAACTAGCTAAATTTGTTTGTCTCGATATTTTTGACCAACTAGTTGGATTTTACTAAAACTTTTATTCCTTTTCCCAACTCCCAGTTTCTAGACTTTCTGTATTAAAAGGTTTCCATTTGTAATTTTGATGGCGTGACAGTGAAAACCCGACCAATATTTACGCTGCTTGTTTATTTCATCTCGTTCAATTCACCAAATAATGGCGAATTTTTCTGGAGATCAGTTCTAAAGGACTGTGTCAAAGTTAAGGAAAAGAAAAAGAAAATTGTTGTCTTGTGTTCACGTCCTCCATGAAACGTGAAAGGCGTGCAACGACTGCAAAGAAATGTACAAAAAAGCGTGATGCACGCTAGTTGTTGTTTTGTTAATCTATAAACCTATTGCAGTTCTTCCGTTCTCGTTGCCGTCGCCAACGGCCGTCGTCCTTCCTTAAACTCCCTTAAGATACCGCGACGGCTACGGAATTGGAAACGTCGCTTAGAAAGTGAATTCGCGTTCTTTCGATCTCTATCGTGATTATCCTAACTCGCTTACTATGTCAAATGCCGCAAGCGAACTCTTGTGGAGCCGAATTCCTAAGTTCAGAGGTAGAAACGAGATTTCGTCGTTCCTTGTTAACGTCCTCCCCAAAACGTGAAATTAGGCATTTTCTCGTCGTAGTAGTGCAGTGACGGCAGAGAAATCTACAAAAAAACGTGATGCACGTGCAAAGTTGTTAACTATTCATCCTTTTGCTTTTTTGACGTTCCCGTTGTCGTCGCTGTCGTCGCATCGCTCTATTAATTATGGGAAGGGACCTCCTCGTTTCTTGTTCATTGCTACCCACTAAGCCTTTTAAAAGAAAGCCTGTGGAAGCTTTCCCAAATACACTGAAACCTTTATTCATTAAGCGGACCCCCAATTTAGCGGACACTCTGCCGGGTCGCGAAACGAACGTCTGATATTTCTCTTTATAACGAACCCCTATTCAGCGGACACCTCTATTAAGCGGACGCGGACGCTAAAATAAGTTGTATTTGGCTAATTTCTATTGTTAAAAACCTCTGTTGAGCGGACACCGGACTGAATTGACCGTGGTAGTAGTATTGGATTACGTCCTTGAAATACGTACTGAAGTCAGTTAATGTTTTTGCATTTACAAACATATTAAAGTTGGTAATGAAAGGTAATGAACTTGAACTCTGGATAGCTTCTTTAACAACATGCACCTTAATCACGGTACAGAGTAACCGTTGAATGTTAACCCTCGAACAAAATGTATTTTTACATTCCCATAAGGTCAGGGTTTGCGAGTTAGATTTTAGTTTTGTTTTTAAGTTCCGGTAAGCGGAAATCCGACCACTTGAATTTTATGCCTGTCACTGAATTACAACATTGTCAGCACAACAGTATAGCCAAACACTAAGAAACAGATTTTTTGCGTTTCTAATGTCTATTTACCCTGGGTACCAGAGACTTTTCTAGCGCGGTTTGCGGTTTCGGCCAACACCGAAAATTCCCGCCGCACGCGAGAAAAACCTCTGGTACCCAGGGTAATGTCTATTTGTAGTTGGGCAAACTCCCATAAGCGGCCATTTTAACCCTTATATCTCCAGTGGCCACCTTTCGCGTCCCGAGGGTGTCCGCTTACGAGACCTTCCACTGTATCATTACTACAGTGAAATCTCTATTAAGCGGGCACCTTCGGGATCTTCTTAAATGTCCGCTTATGAATAGAGGTGGTAAAAATTGCGCAATGTTTGTTAACGATCAAAACGGGGTTTTGTGAAGGCCGCGGTCCCAAGGAGAGGGGGAGTACTTGGGTTAAATTTTGCTGGCCATGTGCCGCTGGCCTCTTAGTGCCCCTACCCCATTTACTGTGGCTTAGACACTTTTGGGCAAATATGTAATTTTCGCGATCCCAACTTAGTCACTTCCTAATTTTACGAATTGACCTATTTTTTAGATTGAATGAAGAAAACACTCTTTCTTTTATCTACAGTACGAACATTCTGGTACGTTTGCTAACTGTGAATATGAAGAATTGTCTTACCCCAAAAAATCCGAAAATGTGCGACCCCATTCTAGTAAATCTATTGAAAATCTGACCCCATTATAGTCAATCCAGTCGTGAAAATGCGACTCCATCCAGCGGCACATCCTCATTAGCCTCTTATAGGGAAGTACTACTCACAGTCGGGGTCGCTGTAGTGGGCGCTGACGAGCTCAAGTGTCCGTTTGAACGAAATTATGGACCAAAAGACGTTATAAAGTACGGACGCAGACATGCCAACGCTCACGATTCTGCCGTGAGTCTCACGATTTTTTTTATCTTTTCTCACGGCCTCACGAGAACGTATAACACTCCCAATCTCACGGTTCTTGGTTCTGAAATGAAATGCCACCTTGTTTAATAAAATGGAAATTCAATGAGTCAAGAGAGGGTAACCTATCTGTCTTAAGAATGCTAATGCCCTTTTATACCTTGTTGGCAGTTTGTCTAAAGGCGATGTTACAAGGGACGATTCGCAACGCCGATTTTTTGCGCAACACAGCGTAGCAATGTTGAAACAATGTTGCAACCATTCGAAAAAATGTCGCAACAATGTTGCAAGATGTGTTGCGTTAAAAATCGTCGTTGCAAATCGTCCCGTGTGACATCACCTTTCTCAACAGAGACCACTAATGATCATGAATCGTAGATACTCTTGCCTTTTTAGCCATCTTAGCTTCACAAGAAACAAAAAGCAAACTGCGGTGATAAAGGAATAAACAACGCACTTTTGGTGGAACAGATTCGCAAGAAATCAGTATGCCTTGTTTAGGACAGACTCGCCCAAAATTATAGTTATGTCTGTTTGGGACAGAAAGGAACAAAACGATACGCTGTCCAGCGGTACATCCCCATGTAGGCCATATAAGGAGGTACACATCGGAGGGCTCAAATTAAGCTTTATTTTGCGCCTCAAAAGATAACATTCTAAAGCAGAAAGCTCGCTAATTAAGAGATACAGAGGAGCCATTTTGCAATCTAAAGTGATGGTCTGTGTGCGTAAAAATATTAATATAATTTGTCATTCTGTCCAGAAACATCCAAAATCAGCAGTTTGCTAAGCAGGAAAATTCCAATATTCCTGTGATCGAAGGCACCATATCAAGGCTTAGGGTGACAAAGTAAATGGACGAAATTGTCCACCTAAACCTGTGTGTTAACTGATGTGGATCGAATGTGGACACTGCTGCACGGTCTGGCAAATGGAATCTTTCTTGGCACAATTTGAAATTCTGAAAAGGTTCATTGGGCAAGCAGTCTTCCCACCATGCATACTGATATTGATATTTCCTTTGTCCGTGGGAACAACTCCAAGTGATCCGCATAACCATCTAAAAGCTGAATTCTCTTAAAGAAACTCACCCTTGCAAAAGTGGGCCGACCATAATCGTGATTTTTTGGGGGACTGGAGATTTGATTCAGGGAATTTTTTCCCTAGGTCTAAGCGCTCTTTTGATTCACGTTTTCTGGTGTGCACTAAAAGTGGCTGGCTAAGTCCATGCACTGGGTTATTGGTTCTTGTCCATGCAAAAAAAGTTTTTTTTTTCTCATAATCATTTCCAAGTCTGTTTGCAGAATATACTTTCCTGAAAAGTCCAAAGTGCAGCTCCTAATAAATGCTGAAATAGCATTTCAAACGTGAGTTAATTCGATTCTGTCTTCAACTTTCTATCCTTGAATTTATATTGATTGATACATGTACAGTCTACAGTAGCTACATTTCTTAGCATTACCAGATTCAGTGCAGTGTGTATAATATAATTAAACATAGTATAAACTCGGAATACAATTCCTATCATGATTAAACCAATTTGTACCACCCACTCTTCACGACACTTCAGTGAGAAGAATACGATGTGCCGCTGGGAAATAACCCACCCATAATACATGCATTTATGGATTAGGAAATAATGGTAGTGTCTGTACAGTCTTGACTATTTGCCATAGACCCCCCTTTTTTCTTTAAACCAAGGCCAACAAGGTCCTTGATTCTCTCCATAATACATGTATTTTGGACTAGGAAATAATAATAGTGTTGTATTCCTCCCCTTAGAAAAATGTCTCCTTAGAAGAGGATCAGAGAGCACGTAGAAGTTATCCACTGCACGCATGATCAACAGCAAAGCTCTTATATAAGCATCTGGAGAAACATTTTCCAAAGCCACTTGACGAATTTCTTTAACCAAGGCAGCCTCTTTTTCTGCAAAACAAAGGGCGGAATCATGAAAACTGATTATTCAAACAATTTTTTGTCAGTTAAAATTAATACACTTTATTTAATCACCTATTTCATGTATGTTGTGTTAAAACATGACGTTCCTTATAAATGATTGTTAGTAACCCAGGCAATGCGGTAGAAAACAAAAACAGCAACAGGTAATTCAGTTAAAAAAACAAAAAACAAAAGGAACCTCCGACATAATTCCTCCGGTTGTCCAAAAGTTGGATTAAGTGCTATCAACCAGTTAAATGATATCTATGGTGTAGCAGATAATGCAAAATGACAGTCTGACCTATTCGGTTAACCAGATTGTAAGTTTGTCATGGTTAAGTTCTAAGAAGAACATAACACTCTGCTTAGCTATGACTGCAAGACCGGTTTCACAACCAAAATATTGGATCCTTTGTCAGTAGCTTAGGAACAGCTGTTAACAAGCTAAAGGGCTCACCAAGGGGGGCTAGTGCTGTAAACTAAACTTTAGTCTGTTCTTTTCAAGTAGCATCCAGAATCAGCTAGTGACTGGATTTTTAAACAAGAAGCTGATTGGATGATTTATCTGCCCTTTGCTGTGAGAGGACAACTTGATCCTGTTTTCAGGTTGAAAGATAAACATAAAAACGCACATATTGAAATGCAGTTTCAGTGCTATGCACATTATTATTCAATAGTCATGACAACTATAACACGACATACAATACATGTAGGTGCACTAGAAAATTATACAAAAAGTAGTAATAATAATAATAATTTAAAATTTATAAAATGCCTTTTCCATGCAAATATGATCAAAAGCGCGTAAAGTAGCAATATAACAAAGTTGTTAACAGAACCCTAATAGGCAATAGAGGACATGGGAAGAACAAATAATGTAAAGTTCTATTATTTTTGCTAATATTAGAACATCACTGTGAAAGTCAAAATACTACTTGCTTTATGATAAAGCTCACTCAAAAGCACATACAACTATAATTCCACTTTCAATTTAGTTACAAATTTTGGCTTCACCAGCCACAAAATAGGAAAGATGGGAGGTTTTAGTTTAAAAAGAGGAGAAAATAGGAGTAGGCTCAAAAAACAGGAAAAAATAGGAAGAATAGGAACTGGACACCCTGAAGGTTGCCCTGACAGGTGTTAACTATTGAACTGACCCCTAGCCCCGAAAGGATAACACCTGTGACTGGATTTAGAAGTTAGAATAATTTTCATTACTTACTCTGACCTCAAGATGAGTGCCAACTCCTGGCGCCAAGTAAGGCCCCAGTTGTTTACAAGGTGGATAGTGCTATACTATGGCTTTATTACTATCCAGTGGATAGTGGAATATTTTATTGGATTTTTTAAATACTTACCCACTGGATGGTGATTTAATTATATAGAGCATTTTCACATGACGTCATGTCTGCCATGTTGGGTTCCCAAACAAGTCCTGTGAGAGTTCAACATTTTTCTCATGTAAACGCTTTCTTTGGATCCAATAAATTTGCATATAGCTGCTGTCCACACGAGTTAAAATGCTCTATAAGGTGGATAGCACTATCCAACTTTGGAGCAGCTGAGGCCTGGTTTACAGGTACCACTTACAATGAACCCTTTAGTACAGTTGTAGAGCTAATTGATTGACCTACAGCTATCGTTGTCCACTAATAAAAAAATATTATGCCCCATAAACTATTTGAAAAAAGAATTTGTACTGATATCTGTATAAGTAAACTAAAAATGATTAATTTAAAAGCAAGCTTCAAAATATGAGTGAAAATCAACGCATAAAAAAACATAATTTTGATCCCTTTTTGATTGCAAAGCACACTTCTTATGACCAAAGGAGTTTGCTAGTGCCACACATTGGGAATTGGCTGGCTGATATCAATTATTGGAAAGCCAAAAAAAAAAATAACAGGAATTTCAGGCTCGAAAAGTGAAAAACACACTAGCTGTTTTACAGATTTGCTGGACAATTGAGTGTGTTAATCCTTGCACTCTTTATTTTATATGTAACAACTACATGTAGACCCATTTGAACCGAGAGATGCCACCCTTAAGGACCACTCCCATCAGTTTCCTACACACTTCAATAAATATTCAACACCCTCATCACTTGAAAAACTAATGTACTGCAGGCCCTAGCTGTCATGCAATTCATTACTTATGTTGGCCCGCTAATTTCTTAATTGACTTACCTGGTTGTATAGTAGGATACTTCATTCCAAAGAACTTCTTCTTCTTGTCAAGAATACCCTGGTCCACAAGATCATCCAACGCTTTGTAAGCACAGGATTTTTCAGACTTATCTTTCCATATACAGACTTCTTTTTCAAAATAATCTTGAACCTTTTTGGGCTTTTCAGGTGACTTATCCTGATGCTTCTTAATTTGTTTGAAAAGAGCATCATCTAAACATGTAATTCCAGTTGGGGTAGTATCCTTTACCTTTAAGAAAAAAAAACATATAAATAATAGCTGCTGATCAGGAAAGCATTATGGTGGCCACTAAGTTAGCTAGGGGTGTCTTTAAAGACAGTCATGCTGAACATGTACATGTAGAGGCAAGAATTTCTGATCAATTACATTTGATTTGTAATCATACTACCTTATTGAAAAATCAAAGAGCCATAAAATATCTCCATTAAATGCATTTCCTCTCAATATCGGATGTAAGACAATTTTTATGTGCTCTGCCAATTTTTGGCATTAGCAAGATTCCAGCTCAATCATTATTTAAAGCAAGCATTGGTCACATGACCTCTTAATGCAAGTGGCCTAATGGTCTCACTTACATGTAGGGTTTTTGGGACAGAAAGTCACTGTATTTGCTCATCTAGGGATCGTTGGATTAGGGCTATGGCTAAAGAATTTTACAAAAAAATGCCATGACACTGACCGCACAGAAATTATGCTTAAAAAAGAACACAACATCCCTAGGCCTGGCACTTATTCAGATACCTGGGTGGCTCTTAAGATGTATTTAGATGTCTGTTTTCATTCGGTCTTCTTTAGAGGTTACTGCATCTAGTTGAAGCTTAAGCCACACTCACATTGGTCTTCCTTAGGCATTTAATTTGAATTTTCCAGCAAGCATTCCTGCCACCTTAATGCGTTTAAATGCTGACAGTAACCAATAAGAGAAGGATGTCTTGCGACTCAGAGCACAATAAATTTGATATTACTAAAAAAGAACGTTACTTATGCTCTGCCACTTACTTTCCTTGAATGGAAATTTTTGTTGAAATTATTGTTTACTGGAATAAGAATAATAATAGGACAATCACATGACTTTTGGAGGGCATACCGAGTAGCATCATTTGCGCCCGAACGGAGCAAGGTTGCAAATGATGCTATGAGGGACACAATTATAACCCGCCAAAAGTCATGTGATTATCATTATATTATTATCTGCAATACAGTACACAAGGCGAAATCTTTGCCACAGCAAGCAAAATGAAAACACAACAAAAACCTAATAAACTCAACTAACTTCTCCACATCTTTCCAAACGCCGTCCATTTTCTGCCCTTCCATGAAGTAGCGATTTAATTTCTGTCTGTCTCCTGACTGAATAGATGATTTGTGTTTTGGTTTAGCATTGTTTTGTTGGCGGACATGAATTCGCAGACTCTTGCAAAATGTTTATGTTTCAGCTGAGTGGATGGCGATGAATGCCTGCATGATCTCATTCCAGTTCATGCACTTGGAGTGAACGCACAACCTTTCTCTGTTTTCACTTCAGCGAAGAACTTTTGTAGAATTTCACTGTATTCACAGATCCACTATAAATTAATTTTTCTTTTCTCACACCATTTCTCGAACTTTTTTACTCCTCACTCTTGCTCTCTTGTTGTTTTTTGTCTGAGCTTTTTGCTCAATTTCATCCAGTTGCTCATTGTTTAAGTCCAAATTTTGACCAGAAAAAAGCTGAAAATTTGGGACTTTTCCATTTTAAAATAGCATCTCCAAACGTCAAACGTTCACCACAAAACTACAAAGTGAGCAAGTGCAAATTCATCCACAAAAATTTGCGCCAACTCTGGCACTGAAATGGTATCCTCAGGATCTCATTGGCCATGCAAAGTTGTTTGACATCTAGTCTACAGCCAATCAAAATCAGGGCAGCAAATGCATTTTCAGCCTGCCCATTGCCCATTTGGCCCACAAAAAGGCATGTTTTACAGAGAGCACTTTGTCATTTGGCAGCGTTTTGATAACAATGATGAATAATTTTCCTTTTGTGACAGTCAACACTGTTTCACATACAGCATACATGTAGCAGCCCAATCAAAATGTTGAACTATACAGTGTTAAGAAGCAAATATGATGAAACCAAAGTATACATAACAGGTGGCATGGCAATGCAAGGCCTTAACTAATAAACCTTAGTATTGAATAAGAGCCAGTATTCCACGAGAAGCAGCAAAATTGCAGACTGCTTCCTCACTCTGACCAGGGTCTAAAAGAGATTTATCGCGATCCATGATTTGACCAAAATACAGTGTGGGATTCTGGAAAACAATGGATAATTATCTTAACCGGAAACAGGATTTCCTGGTCACCTGGGAAGCCAGATTTGCCAAAATTTGGGCTTGGGATAGGGGATTTTTTAACCATATGTCGCGAATTTGGGAAATCCTATGTTTGAGCAGCAATTATGAAATAACCACGCGAGCATTAAGTGGTATCTCCTCTAAAACCAGGAGCTGCATGATTACCTGTTCAAACCAAACTATAGAGACAGTGTGCCTCGTTGTATTTTTTTTGGAAAGAAAAAAGGAATTCAGGAAAGAGATGTCCAAAATTGCGGGATGCGGGATTTTCATGAAAAAGGAGTGGGAATTATAATTATCATATTTAACTCACAATATCTCTCTGTTTCTGATTTGCTCAGGCCCCTGGCTTATTCCTCAGAGCTAACTACACAGTAAAGGCTATCACCAGAAAAAAGGGATCAGGCAAGCGAGAATCCCTGGGGACGAGATTGCATATTAAGCTCACTTGTAAATAGCCAAATTTTAGCCTAAAACATAGCAACACAGCAAAAAATGCTAAATAAACAGATGGCAACTGCTATCTGGAGAATATGTTAGCTTTTAAACATCTCTTTGTATGTCCATAATTTCTCATGGAACAGACAAATGAAGACAGAAATTTAACATCAATCAAGTTAAGCTTGTTTTAAAGCAAGAACTACGTGTATTTTGCATAAACATACATAATGGGTTCAGCTTTTTTATGATCTGAACAATAATATGCAGATCTTGGATAGTCTCATTCATTATAACGGTACATGACACCCTCCTAGATCTGAGTGATTCTTCAGATTGTATGAAAACCTCATCCCCTAATTAGGTAGCAGGGATTGGGAAGGCCGTGGGCCATGTGCATGGCCCATATTAAAGTTAGAAAATGTTGCACTATAAAACTGCTAGCCACCCTAAAGTCGCGTAATGAGCACTTTAGTTATAAGCTCCTTAATCTGTATTAATTTGGTGTTACGTGTACAACAAATAAAAACATGAACCTAACCCTTTGTTTCTTTGATCAGTGATCTAAAGTTTGCAAATGCACTCAGTTCTGTCAAGACAGACGTGCTTTGAGTTGATATTTGCTTCTAGCTGTCTTTGTCTTTCTTGCCAAAACAAATTCATTTAACATTTTAATAAAAAATTTTATTATTGAGATAATGCCTCCAAAGAGACTCCCTTTTTTAGCACGAATATGACAGCCAAGTTCAAGATCAACTGCGAAAATGAAAACAAGAACAACGATATAAAAACACTTTCCAGGCCTGCAAGTAACGAATACAGAAAATTCCAACCGCGCAAAGTGGCTCATGTTTGAAAGGGATGCCATGTTTTGCAAAACATTGAAAACAAGTAGTATAGCAAAGAAGTATCAGCTTCAAAGTTACAGTAAGTTGGATTGGAGTCACTTACTCAGTTTAGTTTAGACTTAGCAATTATCATGCTTAATTCTTATTCTTAATAATAGACTTAGCTTGTGCTAGCTACGCAACTTTCTGTGTATCAAAATAATATAGTGACTGCTAAAAGGGTCAAATTGATTGCTCTTTATATCCTGAGTTACATGTAAGTTGAATGGATGCACTGATTGATTCAGTACATTTTGTAAAACCTGAATAAACATAATTAAAAACTGAAAAATACTTGGTACCTAATCACAATAAAATACTGAACACACTATTTTACCAGTAATGACATCTGGTTGTGAGACATGGGCACTTAACAACGCTATGATGGATAAGCTTGCAGTCAACCAGCGTAAGGTGGAACGCATAATACTAGGCATTACCCTTTAGGATCAAAAGCAAAACACCTGGATCTGTCAAGAAACTGGTGTAAGCGATATCATCAACACTATCAGAGAAGCAAAGCGTAGATGTGCAGGTCACATTGCCTGGCTATTTGATAATCATTGGACCATCAGAGCAACAGACTGTGGACCCAAGAGATTGGACCAGAAAACCGGGTCATCCAAAAACAAGATGGAGAGACAATCTCATCAGACAGCAGATCGGACCCTTACGGCTAAGATTAGCCAAGCGCAGACACCTGTGGGATCGATCCAGGGAGGGGTTGAGTGAATGCAAACCCTGATGTTCATGATGATGATGATCGACACACTTTTATATCTTCAATTGCACATATAATTTCATTTCCTGTGACATGGTGTTTTGCAGGCGGTCAGTGGTTAAACTTGCATGACGGCGCATGTTTTTTAATAAATATTATTAGACAAACAAACATGGCAGCGAAAAAAGCAATGTTACAGAGAAGGCGATTTCTCAAAATCTACTCATTAATTAAAAAATTGGTGGTACTTGGCGGAATTTTTACTTTTATCGTATTTTAAATAATGAGAACTTTAAAATGGAATTTGAACAGATGATTTTTGGGAAACGTTTAATATTACAGTACAATTATATTTATTTATCAATTACCTAAAAACCCGTCCGTTAAAATTTGGTCAAATAAGTGTCAAATGGTAATGATTAATATTATAGTAAGCTGTGTACAAGTTTATAGGAAAATCTAATGAGTGAATTTTATGTAAACTGAGCAAAAGTGAAACTTTCAGGTTGTATTCAATTGTTCATGTTGTCATGGAAACAACGAAAATGTCAAATTTTACCCGTCAGTCACAGCTTGTGAGCTGCAACCCTTCTCTTGCCATGATTTGGCAAATGACATATATTCACAAACTGCTAAAACTGTGTTCAGCCACCTTAATGGCCCATAACTTTTCAAAGTCAGGGACATGTAGGCCCATTGTCTATTTCTGACACAGGTGGATGAAGATGCCGCGAGTAAAACCCTACAAGATTTGTATAGTAGTAAGACAAAAGTCATATTTAGTAGAAATGTTTGTAATTAATTAGACTACGAGTACTCCCCCATTTTCCCTCAGGGATAGTAGAGCGAGCAAAATACATGCATGCGTAAAAATCACCCCCTGTGAGAAAGGCGACACACGACAGAGAGAGAGAAAAAAGAGGGACTACAGGCAAAGCCCAGGCTTTTGACTTTAAGCGCTGCTCTCACAATGCTCTTCCATGACGCACCAGCCACTATCAACACTTGATGTTTACTGATGACAATAGCATTGACAGCTCAATGAGAGAAGGAATCCCATTTTGTTACACTTAATTGATTTGAAAGGCAATACAAACTTCACACACCAAAATCAGTTGGCCATGAAGGGTCAAAAGCTTGGACTTTGTCTGTAGTCCCTCATTTTTCTCTCTGCCCCGGCGCATCTTGCCTTTCTCACATGGGATAATTTTCATGGGTGCTCGCGTTTCACTTGCTCTACTATCAGGTACCATCCCTGAGGGAAAATGAGGTACTACTCGTAGTCTGGTAATTAATTCAAACTATGTCACAGCTCAAAACATCCTTACTTAAAAGTTCACTGACTCCCTCCAAAACAGTTGGCAGGTCCTAATCAGTTATGGGTATGAACAAATGTTTTTCTTACACGTATTCTTCAAAAAGCAGTTGCCATTCTTTACGATTTTTGTATATTGCTGCTATCTTCCTGACGCATTTTATATAATTAAGCAATTTGTATTCACACAAACAATTACAAACAATCAGTTTTACAGCGGGGGGTAGCACCCGCATTTTCGTATGGCGCCCTCTTTCTGTATCTAATACAGCGGTTGGAGATTCTATGAGGACATTTTTGTCATTTTTATCAAGTCTTTGGAATACTTTTGGTGGCCAAATAAATAAATACATTCAAATTATTGGCTCACTATATTGCCTATGTTCAAAAATTCGAGGGTTTGCCCCTCAACGAGACTTCTAAGTAGGGCAGAGAATTTAAAAAAGTTGCCATTGTAGGTATTAAAGACGTATAGAATGCAACTTTACCTTTAACAGTGAATTCTCGTATTTAATTCCTAGCAGTGACTTCTGATCGATCTCGATTTCTACCCTGTCCAGCACAATTAAATCGACCAATGCGGCACATACAGCACCTGCTCGTAGCTCCATTGCGCCTTCCACTTCACCATCCTTGGACTCTTGCCAAAGCAAAGCGTATGCTTGTGTAAGATTCAGTTGTCTTCGCTTGGTCTCCCCCTTAACCTCATCCTTGTTGAAGTGAATGGAGTTCACAAACGTGACTACTGCCTCGGTGAGTTTATCGCAAATTTGATACATATAACCAGCAC